TTGTAGAGATGAGGTCTCACCAAGTTGCCCAGGCGAGTCTCAAACCCGCGGGCTCAGGCAGTCCACTCACCTCAGCCTCCCAAAGGCGCGGGATTACAGACTGAACCACCGAGCCCGGCTTAAAATAATTTTTTAAAAAGCACGTGCAGCTGAGGTCTGAAGGATGAAGGTGTCCCTGCTGTGGGAACAGCAGGAGCAAAGGCCCTGGGGCCGGCCCTGGCTGGAGGTGTCTGTAGGAGGCGCCAGGAGGCGGGCATACTATACTGGGGGCAGAGTCAGAGGACACAGGAGATGGGAAGACCGGGGCTCTGCCTTCCGCTGTGTGGAACCTTCCATTGTGCCAGGCGGGAGGCCCCAGGGACACCGGGGGAGTGTCTGACGGACAGATCTCACCCGTGTTGGGTGCTTCCAAGGACCCAGCACTTGGGCCGGCACCCAGGAAGACAAGGGTGAGAAGAAGCCCCTGAGTTTGGAGAGGATGGACTGGCTGCCTCACAGGGAGTGAGCTCCCCATTGCTGGAGGCAAGCAAGTGGCTGCCCTGTGGGATCCGGGTGAGAGGCAGGGTCCCAAGAGTGCGCCTGTCTCCTCCCGCAGGTGCAAGACGTGTGGGGAATACATCTACAAGGGCAAGAAGTTCAACGCACGCAAGGAAACTGTGCAGAACGAGGCATACCTGGGCCTGCCCATCTTCCGCTTCTATATCAAGTGCACCCGCTGCCTGGCCGAGATCACGTTCAAGGTAGATGCAGGCGGGGCCTTCCTCCCCGAGTGCCTCTGACCCGGAGGGCCCCGGTGTCTCCTGTCCACACCCTCTTCCTCCAGGGAAATCCCCTGGAAGGAGACAGAAGTGTTAGCCAGACGTTCATGGTGGTGTCACGTACAAAGACACGAGGCTAGACGCACCCGAGGTGTTCAGTAACAGGGTCAGAGAGACGCCCGATGGAATATTAAACTCTCAGGAAATATCTTTTTTTTTTTTTTTTGAGTTAGAGTGTCACTCTCGCCCACTCGCCCAGGCTGGAGTGCAGTGGCACACTCAGGCTATCACAGCCTCGACCTGCTGGCCTCTGGCGATCCTTCCGCCTCAGCCTTCCAAGTAGCCAGAACTACAGGCATGCGCCACCATGCCTGGCTAATTTTTTGATTTATTGTAGAGACGAGGTCTCGCCAAGTTGCCCGGGCTGGTCTCGAACCTGCGAGCTCAGGCAATCTGCTTGCCTCGACCTTCCAAAGTGCTGGGATGACAGACTGAGCCACTGAATCCAGCCTCTTTTCTTTTCTTTTCTTTTTTTTTTTGAGTTGGAGTCTCACTCTGTTGCCCAGGCTGGAGGGCGGTGGCACACTCCCAGCCACTGCAGCCTCGACCTGCTGGGCTCTGGCAATCCTAGCCTCTTTTCTTTTTGAGTCGGAGTTTCACTCTGTCGCCAGGCTGGAGGGCAGTGGCACGCCCCCGGCCACCGCAGCCTCGGCCTGCTGGACTCAGGCAATCCTTCCGCCTCGACCTTCCAAGTAGCTGGAACTGCAAGTGTGTGCCACCACGCCCGGCTAATTTTTTTATTTACTGTAGAGCCGAGGTCTCGCCAAGTTGCCCAGGCTGTTCTTGAACCCCTGAGCTCAGGCAATCCTCCCGCCTCAGCCTCCCAAAGTGCTGGGATGACAGGCGTGGCCCCCTGCCTGCTGACGAGTCTTTGCCAGATGCTCTTGCTGTCCGGGGACGTGGAACTGACATCCGCCTGTCCCCCATCCCAGACAGACCCTGAAAACACGGACTACACCATGGAGCACGGTGCCACACGGAACTTCCAGGCCGAGAAGCTCCTGGAGGAGGAGGAGAAACGGGTGCAGAGGGAACGGGAGGACGAGGAGCTGAACAACCCCATGAAGGTACGTGGCTGCGGGCGGCGTCAGGCCACGCGGCGGGGAGCCGGGCCAGTGTAACTCCAGGTATCCCCTGAGACCAGTCCCCACGATGGGGGACTCCAGCTCCCATGATTGGCTTCTCTTTCTTTTTTGAGTCAGAGTCTCCCTCTGTCGCCCAGGCTGGGGGGCGGTGGCACGGTCACAGCTGATCACAGCCTTGACCTCCTGGGCTCAGGCGATCCTCCCCCCTCAGCCTCCCCAGTAGTTGGGATGACAGGTGTGCACCACCATTCCCAGCAAAGTTTTTCATTGTTTGTAGCAATGGGGTCTCCAACTCTTGGCCTCAACCAGTGCTCCCTCCTTGGCCCCCCGAAATGCTGGGATTCCAGGCGTGAGCCACCACTCCCGGGCAGCTTTGTTATTTTTCTCAGAAGTAATAAAATGACTGTTCACTGCTGTCCTTTCCTCCCACACTGCCCGTCTGTTCCTGGACCCTCCCCACCCTCTGCCCAAGGTGAGTTTTCTGAGCAAGTCGTGTCAGAGCTGATCCAGCATCTTCCACCGTCATGCAGAGCAGTGGGGAGGGGGAAGGGCCTTTGCCAGCATTTGCCATGTTTGCGGAGCTGCCCCTGAGGGTGACTTTTGTCCCCTCTGCACCGACAGCAAGGTGCTTCGCCCTGGCATCTATCAGCTATTGCTGCGTAGCAAGTCACCCCCAAAGGTAGCCACTTCAGACAACAAATACGTATTCACATCTCCCAGGGCTTTCCAGTCTCCCCTGGGGCTGCAGCCTCCTCTGAAAGCCCGACCGGGCTGCTCTCATGCTGGTGCCCTCTAGCGGCTGTTGGCGGGAGGTCTCCGCAGCACCCCGTGGCATCTTCGCGGGGCTCCTCGAGCATCTGACAGGCTAGCGGCTGGCTTCTACCTGGCCTGTGGTCCGGGGGGAGAGCAAGGAGGAAGCCCACACCAATCCTGTCCCAGTCTTGAAAGTGACGTGCTGTTACTTGTGTCCTATTCCGTGAGAGTGAGAGTCACGACGTCCAGGCCACACCTGTGGGATGGAGAATTGGTCTCCGTCATTTTTTTTTATTGAGTTAGAGTCTTACTCCGTTGCCCAGACTGGAGTGCAGTGGCTCCCTGTTCACGGCCACCACAACCTCAGCCTGCTGGGCTCAGGCGATCCTCCCACCTCAGCCTTCCAAGTAGCTGGATCCACAGGTGTACGCCACCACGCCAGGCTAATGTTTTGATTTATTGTAGAGACAAGGTCTCACCAAGTTACCCAGGCTGGTCTTGAACCCCTGGGCTCAGGCAATCCTCTCATCTCAGCCTTCCAAAGTGTTGGGATGACAGGCATAAGCCACCACACCTGGTACAGTCTCCATCTTATAAAGGAAGGAGCATCCAAGAATCTGTGGATATATTTTTTTTGTTGTTTTTGAGTTGGAGTCTCACTCTGCCGCCCAGACTGGAGTGCCGTGGCTGCTCCCAGCCACCGCGGCCTTGACCTGCTGGGCTCCGGCGATCCTTCCGCCTCAGCCTCCCAAGTAGCCGGAATTCCAGGTGTGTGCTACCACACCCGGCTAATTTTTTTGATTTATTGTAAAGATGAGGTCTTGCCAAGTTGCCCAGGCAGGTCTCGAACCCGCGGGCTCAGGCAATCTACTCACCTCAGCCTTCCAAAGGTGCGGGATAACAGGCTGAGCCACCGAGCCTGGCATGTGGACGTATTTTAAAACTGCCCTAGTTACCATTTTCCACAGGGCGAATGTGACAAGGTCACGCCACCGAGAAGCAGCACAGTGAGATTCATGCCCAGCCCTGCTGGCTTCACAGCTACCTCTTGGACATCTGTGGCCACGGGCCTGGCCTCTGTCAGCCTCAGTTTCCTTTACTGTAAGATGAAGGTCTTTGTGAGGATTGAGGGAGGCTGCGTGTGGAAATGGCCCAGGGCCTGACATGTAGCAGGTGCCCAGAGTGTCTTTTCAAATTTCTCCATGTTATTTTTTTTTTTGAGTTGGAGTCTTACTCTGTCACCCAGACTGGATGCAGTGGCCGCTCCCGGCCACCGCAGCCTCGACCCACCGGGCTCCGGCGATCCTTCCGCCTCAGCTTTCCGAGGAGCCGGAATTACAGGCGCGCGCTGCCACGCCCGGCTGATTTTTTGATTTACTGTAGAGATGAGGTCTCGCCAAGTTACCCAGGCGGGTCTCGAATCCATGTTATTTTTACCGAATGTTGGGGCTGGCCTGGAAACCGAGGTCATCTGAGTGCAGAGCCCGACTTTCCTCCAGGCCTGCCTGTGGGACCCAATCCTTGCCCAAACCTCCATGTTCTCCCCCGTGAAATGACTGCAGCGGCGGGACCGGGCTGGATTGAGGCAGCAGGACCCAGGGTCTTTCTGCTTGTTGGGGACCCCCGAGGCCAGCCCGGTCCCCCAGGGTGACGCCCCAGTGCTGAACCCCGCCTCGCCGTGCCCACCAGGTGCTGGAGAACCGCACCAAGGACTCCAAGCTGGAGATGGAGGTGCTGGAGAACCTGCAGGAGCTCAAGGACCTGAACCAGCGGCAGGCCCACGTGGACTTCGAGGCCATGCTCCGGCAGCACCGGCTGTCTGAGGAGGAGCGGCAGAGGCAGGAGCAGGAGGAGGACCGCCAGGAGACTGCGTGAGTCGGGCCGGGCTGGCCGGGGCCGCCTCGGGTCTCCCCCTTCTTGTTTTAGAGAGAATTCTGGCCGGGCGCGGTGGCTCAATGCCTGTCATCCCAGCACTTCAGGAGGCTGAGGTGAGAAGATTGCCTGAGCCCGCGGGTTCGAGACCCGCCTGGGCAGCCAGACCTCATCTCCACAATAAATAAAAAAATCAGCCGGGCGTGGTAGCGTGCTCCTGTAATTCCAGCTCCTTGGAAGGCTGAGGCGGAAGGATCGCCGGAGCCCAGCGGGTCGAGGCTGCGGTCGCCAGGAGCAGCCACTGCACTCCAGTCTGGGTGACGGAGTGAGAGTTCAACTCAAAAAAAAAAAGAATATAATTTGAGAGACTACTTTGAAAAGTATGGCAAAATTGAAGCCATAGGAGTTACGGAAGACAGGCAGAGTGGGAACAAAAGAAGATTTGCTTCTGTCACTTTTGATAATCATGATACAATTGATAAAATTGTTGTTCAGAAATGCCACACTATTATGGGCATAATTGTGAAGTGAAACAGACCCTTTCGAAACAAGAGATGCAGTCTGCTGAATCACAAAGAGGCTGTGGAGGTGGATCTGGCAATTTTATGGGTCGTGGAGGAAACTCTGGAGGTGGTGGAGGTAATTTTGGCCGTGGTGGAAACCTTGGTGGAAGAGGAGGCTGTGGAGGTGGAGGTGGTGGCCGCAGAGGGAGTTATGGAGGAGGTGATGGTGGATATAATGGATTTGGAAGTGATGGTGGCAACTATGGCGGTGGTCCTGGATATCGTAGTAGAGGGGGTTATGGTGGTGGTGGACCAGGATATGGAAACCAAGGTGGTGGATAGGGTGGTTACAGCAAAGGAGGAAATTTTGGAGGGGGTAACTCTGGGGGTGGTGAGAACTCTAATGATTCTGGAAATTAGAGTGAACAACAGCCATCAAATTATGGACCCATGCAAGGGGGCAGTTTTGGTGGAAGAAGCTTGGGCAGTCCCTATGGTGGTGGTTATGGATCTGGTGGTGGAAGTGGTGGATATGGTAGCAGAAGGTTCTACAAACAGCAAAAAAGGGCTTCAGGTCTTAGCAGGAGAGAGAGCGAGGAGTTGTTGGGAAAGCTGCAGGTTACTTGGAGACTGTCGTCCCACATGCGTTAGAGGAGCTGTCAAAATCTGCCACAGAAGGAACGATGATCCATCGTCAGAAGAGTTACTGCCGCTTAAACAGGAAACCCTTCTTATTCAGGACTGTCATAGCCATGGTTTGCAAAAAGTACAGCAATTTTGATTAATGCAATATAGTGTCAAGTAGATGTACGTTCCTGAGTTTTTTTATCTGTTGTAGCTATCTGTCTTTTTCTTTTTCTTTTCATTACATCAGGTATATTGCCCTGTAAATTGTGGTAGTGGTGCCAGGAATAAAAAATTAAGGAATTAAAAAAAAAAAATCAGCTGGGCGTGGTCACCTGTAGTTCCAACTACTTGGGAGGTTGAGGAGGGAGGATCGCCTGAGCCCAGGAGGTCAAGGCTGCAGTGAGCCATGATCACACCTCTGGACTCCAGCCTGGGCGACAGAGTGAGACCCCAACTCACAAATAAAAAGTAATGCATGCAGCGCTCCCCCCACCTCCCACAGACACAAGCACTCCTACCCCTACTCAATGGGGGCAGAAACAGGGTCATCAGGCCCTCCCTGGCCACCCTCCTGGACACCAGCCCTCGCTGCTGAGCACACCCCAAGTCCCCACACTCTGTCCCACAGGGCCTTGTTGGAGGAAGCCAGGAAACGGAGACTGCTTGAGGACTCTGACTCGGAGGACGAGGCCGCTCCTGCCCTGCCCCGGCCGGCCCTCCGGCCCAACCCCACGGCCATCCTGGACGAGGTGAGCAGCGCAGGCTGAGTCCCCGTGGGCTCTCAGGCTGGGCAGAGGCAGCTGAAGCCAGGGGTCAGCTTGGCTTTCCCTAAAAGACCAGACTCCTAACTCCTGCACTCGGCCCTGTTACCTAAGTGGCCGGGCTGTGTGTCAGTCAGACTTTATTTGCAAAAGCAGGTGTCGGCCGGGCTCAGTGGCTCAGCCTGTCATCCCAGCACTTTGGGAGGCTGAGGCAAGTGGATTGCCTGAGCCCGTGGGTTCAAGACCAGCC